GTATTTTCATCTTTGCAGGTATGGTCTGAGAAACAAACATAAATTATCACTCATTGAAGATATTGTACAATTCGCTGTATTAAAACTATATACTCTACAGTGCTGTACATATAGCAACAGGGGTAACTTAATCACTAGTGGTCACTTTGGGAAATAATTTTCTACTTAATTAAGGCACCTATATATCTGGTTCATTCTCAGCAGTACCTGGTAGTATAGTACTGTACAGTACACTAGACAATGAATATATACAGGTACCTTGGCATCATATTGGGGATGTCAATGTCTTGTTGTATATTTTGAAACTACTGTTGTTCTTCAAAGAATTTGTGCTGTAACTGAAGCTTGTCATGGCAGATTTTGTTTGAATGGCATATGTATTGTAAAACTTCAGACATAGAGCAGTGTCTTGAAACTTCTCTTGTGTACTTAAAGAATGTATAATTCATATGACCTTTTTCTACAAGGTCATTTTGTAAAGTTTACAAGATTCTCTGCACTGTTTAATGTTAGAGTAACATTTGGGGTCTTAATTGTAAAGATATAGTATTCCAAAAGTTACAACATATGGCACTTGAAAAGACCATATGTTGCAGCTTTTATTTATTAATTTTTTACTAGCTACTGTACTTTAAACCTTATGTACAAGATCTTTTTACACATTAGACTTCGTATTGCAGCATCTCATGTAGTTTACACTCAATAAAAAACTACCGTACAGGTGGGATCCAATGATTTTCCAACTAAACATTCCCGTTGTCTCGTGAGGGTTGGTGGGCCTGAATGTGAGACATTTCGTACTTAATTTGGTAGGCCGAAATTAGCTATTTTATTGACAATATTGAATTATTTTGTTACATTATGACTGGAGAATGTCAGTATATCTACATAAGTTAAACTGCATGTTATATTAAATGTTCCACACACCGTGGACTACAGTAACCATGGAAGTGGATGAGTTGCCATATAAGAATGAATTATATGTTTGGCTGAATTAGTGGATACAGCTCCTCCCCGACTTACGACCACCCGGACATACGACCGCCTCAGTCGTACCAAAATTTTGTAAAATTACATATTTTTGAGTCCCAACGTCCGTGATTGCGCTGTGTACTGACAAAATTTTCGTTTGTAATTCACTTTAAAATGGCTGGCAAGCTTAAAAGTGAGAGTTTTGTGGTGCTGAGAAGAAAAAGACACCCATTTTAAATTTTCTATGTATTATTTAAGCATTTTCGACTTTCGGCCATTTCGACTTTCGACCTGGATTTGGGTCCCCAACCCCGTCGTAAGTCGGGAAGGAGCTGTATAGTAAAGGTATAAGATTATTTTGCAACCGAATTTCGAATCTGTATCTGTATTGCTACTTCACTTTGGGCTAATGCCACATTATTTAATTCTTTATTCGTATTGGAAAATATACCATGCTGTTCCGAAACATCTGAATAGCTCCACAGTTTCACATGCCGTCATAATGGAACCCGGCCCAATGACGTTTTACCATACGGTCAATGATTCCGGAAAGTCTAGTGTAGGTGCTCCTATACTTGAGAACGTTCATCTTACAAACTTTCAGAGATACAAACATCATCACTGAGGGGGGCTACCTGCTAGAACAGGTGTTTAATGTGGATGAGACTGGATTATTTTGAAGAAAATTCCAGATAGAACAAACATTACCTAAGAGGAGAAGAGTGAGCTAGGTTTAAAGGGTATAGCTGTACTAAATATCCATAATCTTTTCATTTTTTACAATATGTTTGGTATCTACAAGAGTAAAGTTGGACTTACAAACAAGCCTCAGGAATGTAGCTCGTTCGTAAGTAGAGGAGCACCCGTACTGTACTGGGTTTCGTTTCAGAGAGCCGATAACTTGTTTCAAGCACGTGTGGCCGAACTTATACACGGGCAAGGCTACCAATGCTAGGAATGCCTCAGTGGCCTTCTTGAAACACTTCGTTTGTAGTGTCAGTTTGTTTCGCACAGGAATTGTAACGGTAGGTTTTTTTTTCCTAGTGTACATACAGTACTGTATTAGTGGTTACCAGGATATCTCCAAGTTTTAATTTGCAATTTGTGAATCTTGGCACAATTGCTGTACCGGTATATGGACCTGTTGTTTATTCATGAGCAGGTTCCTCTCGCTTAACCATAGTCGTCTTGCAGTAGAAAATTTGTTCGGTGGCTTTCAGCAGCTTTTAAAAATAAAAATTATGTGGCGCTGCCTCTAAGAAGGGCGACCTACTAGCGAATTTGTTTTCTATGGTATTGTGCAGTCAGACATGTGCTCTATCATGTGGTGTGGAGAAATATAGGAAATGCGCTCTTCTAGCCAGTGGTACCAAGGGTTCTTCCAAAAATGCTATGCGGGACCAAGTGAAAGCTCAGCCAGGCAAGGTGTTACATACCATAACATAATACACAATTTTTGTATGATAACACCATCTATAAACTTTGTCCACGTGCATTTTATAGTTTTATCATTTATGGTTACTTATACTGTACATAATTATTTTGTAAAATATCTTGTTAATTCTTAATATGACAGCTATTTATTACCATTTGCATTCAGCAGTATAGTATTGGGGGAACCAAATTTAACCAGGGGGTGCTGATTATTAATTCTGGTGTCCTAGAACCTTTGATGCAATGTACAGGTATAGCACCTTTACTAAATATATTTGGTGCTGCAGCACTCAGCACCCCCCTTTTTTTTTTTTATTGCATTCAGGCATTATTATGGAATGTTATACATTTTTCTCATGTACTGTACAGCCATGAAGTACAGTATTATCCAAACACTACAAAATGAGAAAACTAAATAAATTAATATAACAAAAAAGCACAAATTATGGACCAGAATACAGTAGAAGAAAATCAATTGCACTTTTCTCAAAACTATTGCTTCACCCACTTGTTGTCCTTATAGGCAGCACCTCATATATGCTATACTGTGTGTGGATGCTTGTTGTGTATATAACAGATAGTTCAATCAGTAGATTCATACGTTCAGTGGCATCAAACATATACAGTACTGTGTAGGGTTGTTCACAAGTCTTTCGCTTGAATTTGATGAAACTTGCTTCTGCTACAAATTACCATGGATGAATAAGGAAAATGTGGTCAGGAGGATTTATTTAAACAACTTTTGAAAGGGATATTGTCTGCATTTGTGGTACCATTTTTGCTTATGTGAAGAATTTCTGTGACATGTAATGGTTCTCATTATTTTCTTCTTAAAGTGTGAGAATTTTACTACCCATTGCCTTATCTCCATCTTGGTTAGAAACTTTAATCTAGATCTATTAATTTTTGCAAATGGTAGTTTCCCCTTTACAAAACATTGCAAACTTAGCTGTCTATTGTAAAACATCTTTATTAGATATTCAATTTCCTTTGAACATATCCCCAATCTTATTTATCACATTGCCATATTTTGCAGCTCTGGTTAGATGATATATTATTAATATTTACACATTGAAATTCCATTTGACAAAATCAGTCCATAGCTCTTTAATCCCCTCCTCCCCACAAAAAAATATGCTGCACTTGTTATCAAATGAGATTAGATGTCATTTTTTGAAAGTGAATTAAGCTTCTTTTTGATACTGAATATGGTTGGTATGAAGTACAGTATTGGATAATACTTTTCAAAGTGATGGCTAGACAATTTACCTTCCCATGGCCTTTCGATACAAATTTTGTTGCTAAGCGTTCCTGTACTGGTGCGACCCCTGCCGCTCAGCTGTATTTCACACTGAGAGCACCCCCTCCTGTAAACAGAAACGTGGGAACAGTGGACCGGTCCCATCAACCTCTTAAGTACCTCCCACAAGCCTCATGGGCTGGCAAATGTGTCTTTAAGGATGCAATTTAGGCCTGAATCACTCTACCCAATGTTTACTAGAATGGAAAACACGTTCTTGTTACAGACGCAACCTACATTGAAAGACTGCGAGGGGGTGAGGTTCTGACAATGGCCAGGAGGACTAGGGGGTTAATGATAAAGGACTTTTAAAGTGAACTGCTCTCTCATCCATAATGTAGACCCTTCTCATAAGTGATGTAAACTCACTGAATCTAGACTATCCTGATGTAACATCATCTTTTACATACCATACATGTTAAGTATCCTCAATTTTCCATTGAAATGTCAAGTGTGTATATACAGTTATATCTCCATTAGCCGGAACAATTGGTGCCGAGCACTTCTGGGAATGAGAGATTTCCGGTTAACAAGACGACTCAAAGCCGGAAAAAAAAAATCCCTCCGGGTAACAGAAAATTTTTCTTGGAAGTTACAGAAACTGCACATTACATCATCTCTCGAACCTGGAAAGTACCCTCCATCCTCAGAATTTTGTGGGGACCAGAAATTTTTTCACGGAATTTCCAGAACATATGCCTGATTTTCATCTCCCAAACCCAGAAAAAAATTTCCCCATCCCCAGAATTTTCCAGGTACTGGGAAAATTTTATCTGATTTCTGCAGAAAATGTGACCCCTTGGAAAATCGTTCCCAGAACTGGAAAATTCTGGCTTTGGGAACGACTTTCCGAGGAGAAATCAATTTCGGCTATCGGCGGGTTCCAGTTATGAGGGATTCCAGCTAATGGAGATATTAATACTGCATACATAAAACAGCAACATGTATGCTCGAGTTAGCATACTGTATATGATAAACTGAAGGCTTTAGTGTCTCATTGGGAATTTGTAGTAATGTAAAGGATTGTAACATCAAATTTATAAGTTATAAATACAGTAGTTATATAAATTTTGTACAGGGGCAGTCAAGAATTAAGCCAGGGTTTGGTATTGTTCACTCGTAAATATTTGCCATACTATTGATTTTTTTATGGTAAAGGTCATGATGTATGCTAGGCAGAATATGCTCTTCAAGTTAAGTCTGCATTTTGATGTGTTTATGGTAAGTAATTTTAACTTACTACTGTGGCTACTTATTACCTTGTTTCTCACAATTATTATTTTTTCTTTCACAGCTCAAGATTCACAGATTCCAAGAAATATGAAGATGATTTTGTTGATTGTTTCAATTTGAAAGAGCGAAGGTCTGGCGAGATTTGCAATGCATGTGTACTTCTGGTGAAGAGGTGGAAGAAGCTGCCAAAAGGAACAGATCGCAACTGGCATCATGTAAGTAGTTAAGCCTGTCTTTTGGTTTATATTAACAATAACAAATATTACCAACAGTGTACATGACAATGAAGCTTAAGATAGAACAATGCAACATTGTGACTGAGTCTTTTGATATTGCTCTTCAACTATGCAGTCAGTGCCAGAGCGAGTACTTTTGAAGACATTTGAAGGGCATAGAATTAAGTTTCAAATGCCAGTAATTGCAGAGAGTATAGGTGAGTTGAAAAGGTTCCTGTAGAATTAAGATGGAAAGAAATCCTTCAGGAAATATCTCATAGCCATATGAGCAAAATAAAAATTCTCAAATGACCAGACATTTTTGTTTTTTATTTATGGTACTGTATATATATTCTAAATATTTTTTTTTTTTTTAATACAGTGGTCCCTCGGTTAATAAACACAATTCGTTCCAGAAGGTTTCGTTAACCGAATCCATTGTTTCAATGGGATAGTGGGTAATTGGTTCCAGTTCACAAAAAAGTTCATACAAAGTAAAAAAAAATGCAGTAAAGTGCACTTACTTTGAGGTGTGTATGTAGAAGGCTCCTGGTTGATGATGATGATTTCTTTTTGGGGGCAATCCCCTACATCCTTGTGTAAGGTGAAGCGCAGAAGCATTTACAGCGTCCAACAGGGAAGCATGCTAAGTTCATGCTTGCCTTTGTCTCATGAGTTAAGGGTGTAGAAGCCTGAAGAGTCAGTGGTTTATGTCATCAAGTTATTGGAAGCTCCAACAACTCCCTGAATACGAATTTGCAACTTTTGACTTACAACAGGTACCTACTTTACTGCTAGGTGAACAGGGACTAATGGGGGCTAGGAAATAAGTCCAAACAACTTCCACCGGCCTGGGAATCGAACCCGTGACATCTCGCTTGCGAGGCAAGAACGGTACCGCTTCTACCACCGGTCCCCTGATGATGATGATGGGAATTAGAAGTAGGGTGGAGGAGAAGGGAGAAGAGAAGGAAGTTTGGATGGAGGAGAAATCACCTTTCAGGGGAGCCATGCTTGATGCAGTCATTTCACCAATAAAATTTTAAGTTCACTCAGTGTAATTCAAGATTATTTTCTTTATATCAACACTGCACTGCGCTATATATTATCACTATGTTAACCAAAGTTCAGAATGACCAATAATTTCAATGAAAACTGCAAAAATATTCAAGACGCCAACAAAATAGGTGCTCTCTCCACAGAAAACAAAGCCAGACTGACGCCTGGTGACCAACCCACGCATCTGATGGGTGCACAACTCACTAGTTCCCTGTACAGTACAGGTTGACAACCCTTTATCCGAAATCCGAAAGTTTTTTTGTGGGTCAATTTTTTTTTCCTTTCTTTTTTTTTTAACAGGGATTAGCCCACCCGGGCATAAATCACTGACTCACATCGGGGCCTGGTGGGCAAAAATGTGATAGTAATAATAATTATAATAATAATAATTATTCATAATAAATAAAAAATTTAATTAAAATACTGTACACCAAAATAAAATAATAATGATAACAATAATAATAATAGTAATAATAAAATATAATAATAACAATAAAAAAATACAAGAATGAAAAAAAAAAGATCTAACGTGAGAAATGCGACGTAGACCTATGAATTATTATTACAGTATTATTATTATTATTATTATTTTTACTACTATTATTATTATTATTATTAGAATATTTTCGCCCCCCAGGCCCCGATATGGATCAGTGATCTATGCCCGGGTGGGCTAAAAAAAAAAATCTGAAAACCGAAAAATTCCGAAATCCGAAATGCCTCTGGCCCCAAGGATTTCGGATAAGGGATTGTCAACCTGTACTGCATATATTATCAATATGTTAAATAAATGTTAAAATGACTAATAATTTTAATAGAAAACATGCATAAATATTATAAACATAGAACAGATTACTGAATTGGCTGAGTACCCCCTCAGCTGATCAGCTGATGTTCAAAACAAAACGTGATTTTCGTAAGGGTTTCGTTAATCGTTTTTTTTGTTCGCTAACCGAATTGAAGATTCTTATGGAAGATAATTCGTTAACCGAAGCGTTCATTAACCGAGGGACCACTGTATTTTAAGTGTCTTGTTTTTATATTACAAGCAGCATATTGTATCTAATGATATTAAGTTTGTCGCCGAATGGGATTGCAATTGTCTAACAGCTCTCTCCCCCCTCCACCTCTTGTCTCCTACCCACCCTTCCCTCATTTACCTCTTCCTCTCCTTTTCCTACGTCCTTTTTCATTTTCTATACCTACACTTGAGGAAATGCAGCAATCTTATCATAATGCATTTGAACAATTAAACCATCACGAAGATGTCCATCAGTATGATGCCTTAATATTATTTATAATGGGTAATGTCTGGCAGCTAGGGTTATTTCAGTCAATCCCAGTTATGACCAAATCTGACCTGACAACCCTCCCCTTGACAAAGTCTTCCCCTCTTCCCAACCCGCCAGTCCCTATCCTCCACGCTCCGTATTACCCATCCCCACTCACTCCAAATACATATATTGTTTCAATCGATTGAACAGTCCCATACAGCATTGGAAGGTTCAAACTTTAGAGGAATTGTGGCTGAATTCTGCCATGGCCATAAGAGACTCGCAGTGTTTCATAATTTATCAAATGTTACAAATCCTCGAACCGAGATAAGTTTCATCGTGCGTCTGGATGCACAGTTCCAATGTTACCAGACCATTTACGGGCCTTATACTGTACCTACAATTTGTAGACTTATTCCTGAGACCAACGGTATACACATATCATTATATACTAATCATTATGTTTTTATTGTTATTGCAGGTTGTGGATGCCAGAGCTGGACCAGGTACCAAGTCCCTCACAAAATTCAAGAGCAAGAAATTAAAAAAGAATATTGTTAATCCAGATAAACCAATAAAAGAGAAGATAAAAAAGAAACATCGGTAAGGCCACCATGTCTTATTTCTTATATTATCTCAGGGTGTCCATGTTGGGTACTGACAGTACATGTCAGGTATTGCAAATAAAGGCTGTGGGTTTCCTAAATTCTTTGTTCAGCTCAATGAATATATTGATACTACAAGTAATTGTTTACTGTAGACGGTATGTAATTGTTTTAGCTTATTGGACAATACATTATTTAAAGACTTTCTGAAAGGTAGTACTGTACTGTACAGAATATAGTAGGAGAGAAAACATTGTGTTTACTAACTCTTTTTGATATCAATTTATTATCTACTTATTTAAATAATTTTAGGCACAAGACTTTTATCACAGGTTCGCAGTACATTACTCTGTTTATTCTGTTTTCCTTTAGCTCAACATTTACGTTATGTCAAGATGACTACTTCAAGACTTGCTGTGGAAATTATGCCTTCAAGTCCCCTAGCCCCTTAGACATAATTTTTTATTTTATAATACAGTTCATGATTTTCAAACCTATTGAGGAATGTGTTTTAATTTTAATTTTTTCTTTAATCAACAGATATATTCGAAAGGTAGGCAGAGAGACTTCTCCAGGAGCTCTGAGTGATGATGTTGCTGTTGGCGATGAGAGATTGAGTGAAGGTTCAGCTACATCAGTTCCTGGCTCCTTGGCACCCTCCCCCTACCCCTCACCTTACCCCTCTGAGGATGATGCTGACTCACAAGATCGCACTCTAGTCTCTGGTGCTGTTAAAAGGAAGAAATCAATCCCAAAACAGTATCAACTCAGCAGTTTTGTTGATTTGTCATACTGGAAACAGTAAGTTTAATTTTGTAAACAAATTTTAAATCTTAAATACAGTCTAATGGTTTTCTTTTGATGCTGCCAGTTTTTAGTTGTTTGAAATGGAGTCTCAGGAAACTCAACTATAGAGATTTTTTTGTAAGAATTGTAATAGGAGTGAATAGCAACTTGTCAAGAATGTAAGCCATTGGTACCCAATTTATGTACAAGATTGGCTTGGAGGAGGGACAGAATTTAAATTTTGTTATGGGGTGTAATCAATTAACATTTAAATGTATTTTTGGGTTGAATTTGTTTGAAATTCCCTAACTGAAATAGTGATCAATTATCTGTTATCACCGAACATCCTTTCATTAAGTGACTTGTTTTGTACTGACCATGTCAACAAAAGTAAATGAACTAATTCTTGAATATATTTTGTCCTCCCATCAGAGTCAAGTTTTAGAAGCAAGTCACCATTTATATAAGAACACAATAAGTAAGGACTTGTATAAACATGCATACCCTTCCTTTGGTTGGCCATATTAGTCACAGGCATTGAATCAATTATCTAATCTTAATTTTTACTTTACTAATGTTACCTTTTAACTTATTGCCTTCTGTCTTGAATGCAGATTGTTGCTTTTAAGGCTCCCTTTCAGGGATATTTTGTGATGTAAAGATATAACTACTTCACAAACCAAATACTGCCACTCATGCCAAAGGATCTCCTGGGTTTCATCTTGGCTACTAAAATACATGAGCCACTAACTTCATGGTAGGGAAGAAGATAATTATATAGTAAAATATTGCACAGTACAGTGGGGTATGCTATAACGAATCTAATTGATTCTAGAATCTTGTTCGTTATAGGATTAATCCGTTCCAGGCCCCCAAATACAACCACTTAACACTGAAAAATATAATATAAAATTGTAAAAAAGTGCATACATATGCATCTAAACCCCTGAAATAAAGAATATCATTAATACTTGTAATAAAAAACAATAAATTAGTAAAAAAAAAAAAATTTAAATAATGTTCGTTGTAGGAGTTTCGTTTGTTATAGCATTCTCAATTTTATAGGTAAAACCGTTCGTTATAGGAATATTCGTAGTAGGATCCGTTCGTTATAGCGTACCCCCACTGTATTTCAGTAATGTAGCAAACTATTTTTTCCTGTTTCAGAGAGAAAGTATGCTGTGGATTAATTTTTCGAGGGGACTGCGGTGAAGTTCTCATAGACCCACGGTTCTTCCATCCATGCTCATGTCGTATGAAAACTCTAGAATTGTCACCAACTCCAACACCTGCCTCAACACCTCTTGCTTCATCTGGAGCTTCTGATGGCGGTAGTAATTATGATGATGAAATTTTAGAAATGATGTCAGAAGCAAATATGAATGAAGATGAAGACTATCAAGATTCTGATTCACTGGATGATCGACTTGATGAACCTTATTACTCATCTGCCACTAATTCTCCCTCAGGCCCGCTCATGACGCATTTATCAACGGGAATTGCAAGTTAACTATAGTGTTAATTAGTGGGCAAAAATTATGACTAACTACCTATTTAATATTGGTAGATACGTACCTTTTTTATTATTTAGATATGACAAAAAATTTCCATGATCAATATTAGTGTGTTCTGAATTTTTATTTATTATTCATGGGTCCAAGACTTGTATTTTTCAGGGTTGATAGATAAATTTTGAGAAAAAAAAAGAAAATGTGGTTTTTTTATATATATATATATATATATTTGGCACAGAGCAAGGCTGCAGCCCCTCTCAACTTTTTTTAGTCTTGTTATGACAATCTGTTTCATGGCAATACTCGTCTTGCTGCACCAAATACGCCGTCCACTTCTGCAAGCAGTGAACCAATTGTATGCATTGAAAACTGAATCGGTAAATAATTGAATACAAAACCATATTTTATAACTGCTATTTTTTACCTTTGAGAGTCTTTATATCAGATTAGGAAAAGCTTTGGTCTTTTAACTGCATTCAGTTTTTATGTAAAATGCAATGTAACACATGTATTTGAATCCAGCTCAGTCTTTGGAATATGAAACCTTGAAACAACTCCCATGCAAGCTTTAAATAATACTTAAACTGAATGGTGTATGGGTTGTTAAAGGTAAAAGTTCCCGGTGCTGTGTGTGGTGCTGCTGCTGATGACGGTCCGGTGCGGCGGGACGGTTCTAGGATCTCCATATCAGGGAGTGGGCTCGGCTGCCTCTTGTCCTCAGGTCACAAGGCTCATGTGCTCAGTCCACCAGTCACTGGCTCCTCACTCTTTAATCTCACTGTAGCTTCCTCCCTCTCATGCAGAGGGTTTGGTACCACCATCCTTTCCTACTGTCTTCTGTATTAGATATATGACTATTCTACAAGTGAATATCAAATGAGCAACAAAGTGCATATTTTAAAGTCTTGGGAGGAATGGTGCAAGTAAATTGTGCCCCCCATGAAAGACATGTAAAGTGTATCATAAAAGCTTTTTTGCACAAGTTAATGAATTGCAATATTTAAACTGTGCAAATATTTAATTTCATATTTGAAAAACTGTATATAGTTAATTTTCATTTAGTAGAAAGCAAAGAATATTATATAATTATCTGAACCTAGCAAAATTACATATTTAATCTTAGAGACGAGAGACAATAAGAGGCTATCTTCATGCCTCCCTTACTAAGGCTCTATGCTACACTGCACTTGTTCCTGTGTATCCTCCCTATTCCTCTTGATTTGGAGGTGGGGGGCAGTACAAAATCATTGTCTTGTGAACCTACTCTCAACTTTGTTTTGTTACTCAACTGTGACTACATAATTTCTGAAGAATTTCTACCAAGTAGGGATTCTCTTTTTATATATAAAGCATAAAATAAGTATTTTTAGCTAATTAAATATTTTTAAATGATTTTTCATATATGCATAATGTGTTGTGCTCAACCTGTATTTTTCTTTATATATATATATATATATATATATATATATATATATATATATATATATATATATATATATATATATAAATTTTTACAAATTTTTATTCTAATATGGAGCCAGATGACGGTGTAACCGACTTGCCTGCCATATAGCAAATTCAGATGAATTAATCCCAAACCTGAATCTAGTCTTCAAACATTTTTAATGTTAAGGACTTGATAAAAAACATAAAAATTTAAAAAAAAATTAAACAGATGGCCCTCAGTATTACAAGGTACAAGTTAGCTTCTTTTCTATTGCCACACTATGCGCTTGTTAGCACACATGAGCGGTGCTGTCCTGATGCTCGCTGCAATATGAATCTCTAGCATCGTGGATGGTAACTAGAAGGAGAACAGGCGATGTTATAGACGCATGTGTACGGATGTCTCTTTGGATGACACAGGTTTATAAAATGGATAGAAATGCTTGGTGCCGAGTTGGTTCCAGCACTTGTGTCAACCAAGGAAACTGTCCAAGGAATCAATGCAGAAGCCAAGGACCACTCAGTGCAGGATTGGAATAAGCTTATGGCTCAAAATGGAATTCTTTGTTGTGCTGGTTGTAAATTTGTTTTCACCCTCAATGGCTGCAGTTTTATAATGTGGTCTTTAAATTATTATTATATCTGATATTTTAATGTTGTTATGTTTCATTAACACTAATATGATTAGTGCATTAATTAGAATTTTTAAATTGACAATTTTTGACTGTTACTGAAGATCAATTTTATAACTGAGTTGCTATACTGTATTTGGTGAGCTACAAGCATCCTTGTAAAGGTTTCCAATACACTGCACTGAGTAAGAAAACATTGTCAGCCCTAGGAGCCAAAACTCTCCCAAAGACTGTGATTATTTTCAATATTGATGGATGTTTTAAGGTAAAGTGAGATTAGAGGCATGTTTTCTATAAAAATGCAATCAGGAAAAAAATTTATACATGCATTGCATTCCAAAGATTGTTAAGTGTATAATATTATTAATATCCCTTAATAAATATTTACAATAGATATGGACCTGACACTTAACTTCCTTTTAGTGTCTTTGACCATTGCATTTCTGATTAATGATAATTATTATTTATTGTTTAATTTAATTCAGGTATACTACTTAAGTGGGTAAATTGCAGTGTGACAGGCTTCAGTCACATAGCATATGCCTGTGACATATGGCAGGCATATGCCTACACCCACAGATTCTGACCACATAATATGTATCTGAACACTTGTTATGGTGCCCTTGTTATTTTCTGCAGCTGTTAGCCATATATAACATTATAATTTTCTGTGTAACTTGTGTAGAGTGTGGCCTAAACTACCTGCTCCAGTCAAGTTTTGGTAGGAGTGATGGGCCATTCTCTGAAGCTGCAATGTGGTTAAGCTGGGGGTGGGGCCAGTTCCAGGGTGAAACCACACCACACACTTCTGGTGCCTGCTTGATTGTCATGGTCATGGTATTAGCACAAATGAAACTGCAACTGTACAAAGTGCTATAATCCATGTAACAGTGCTCTTTGTTACCAATACTCTTTCACAACATTTGTTTTAAAATGTATGTGAAAACTACATTTTGATAATGTGATAGATGTATGTTTTTTACATAAATTTATGCATATATATATATATATATATATATATATATATATATATATATATATATATATATATATATATATATAAATGCTGCTTTAGGTTGTATTTAAATTATTATTTCTGAAAGACCTGTACTTGGACTAGAGCACTTTATGAGTAACAGCTGCAGCAAGTTTCCTACTGCATCTCATAAGTACCTGGGAGGAGTCAGGGCGATTGTCACTTGAGTTGGTAATTTGTAAATTGAATGGCTGAAGTTTTGAGTGGTATGAGTGTATCTAGGGTAACCTGTTTGCTCATTCAATCAGGTGTCACTGTTTGAGCTTATGTGATAATCATAACTTTGAGCTGTGACCTTTTTGCTTTTATTGTCGCCCGGATCCTCGTGGGTGTGTATGGATGGTCAAAGGACAGTCAGAGAACAGGTTCTCTCCTTTGTTAAACAAGTTGTTTTGTATAATGACAAAGATCCACAAATAAGCTTATTGTTTGAGCTTAAGAAGTGTGTCCATTTCTCTGTTCACTTATTTAATGTTCTGTAGTTGTGAATGTAGTTATCCTTTAAAAGTTCAGTACAATAAAATATTGTCTACTACCTCATATTTTCATTTATTCCTATGTATACTGTATTGTGTTAAATGTAAACAACTGATTCAAATTAGCTTTATGGAACATTTTATTTCTTTTACTTTTCTGTATATTTATAACTAGCTTGACGATAACTGTTCATCACACCAAAACTTTACTATTTATACACAATTTCTTTTAATATACTATAATACAATACAGTACAGTACTGTTTATCTGTTGACTGGAGAAGTGCCAGGAGCTGAATTTTCATAACCAACACATCTGGCTGCAGAATCAGTTTCTAGCAGATGAAACTCCAGCCGGTAGTCCCTAAAACTGGCTACTAGTGCTAGCCAAAAGTGAAAATTGCTGGTGCAAAAGCCCATGTGATGACCAACTTGCTGCCCAAAGTAAAAAAGAAAAAAAAAAGCTGCATATATGGTAGCCTCCCCTACCAAGAAACTAGATAACTAGCCGAAGCCAACCACACTGGCGAACCATTATCCTGGAACACGATCCAAAAACTTATTGAAATCCAGGTTCCTAAAAACCCGTGTCAGTTTATGGTAGTGCACTGTTCTTTGGGTATTAGAAATGTGTAAAAAAAAAAAAAAATCACCCAAAACCAACATGACCTAATCCCCTGGTTAGATAGAACGGTGCATTAACATAAGACCAAAACCCACTATAATCCGATAAGATGTTTGAGAAATTGAATCATAAGTCAATGGGATAAACTACTTAATATTGACCTTAGAATATATCCTAATATCCAGTGCATATGGCCTGAAAAAAGTCCCTGAAATTGTAAAAATTTCAACGTTTTCTCAGGAGGCTTACTGTACATCACTGTATAGGCTAGCTGCGCTTGCCCCCGGGCTACACCACTAGTGCGTTACCTCACTATTGTAGCTACCACTGCACCACTGCAGTATCATGTATCACACTCGACAGTCACTCACTATCTCAGCAATGAAAGAAATTTCTTGTTTACCAACACCTGATACACTGTCACACACTATGGGGGAGCCCTCTGGCTCTTCAAAAAAACAATCCCTGGTTACTACACAAAAGAGAGTTGTACGGACAATGACCTACTTGAAAAAAACAAATCACAAACAAAAAATTTGCTAAATTGAAAATTTTTAAATTCGAAGATATTAACACCTGCTGTGCCCTTTTTGTTCACAAATCCATCAATCATTTGCTTGACAATACTTATTTCCAGTTCCAGAATAATCAGAGATACAACTTAAGGCACCCAGAGCTACTAAGACCACCCCCCATGTGCTCCTCTTAGTCCCAGACCTCCATAAAATATCATGGTGTGAAGGTGTGGAACGATTTACCTCCACCCGTCCGAGCAAAGACTACCTTCCTTTAAATCATCTCTTAAAAAATATCTATTGTCTAAGTAATAATATTTCTTGTAATACTTACTATATTTACTGTACATGCTTTTATTGTACCATCAAAACCGTTTTATCGGAAATTATCATGTAACATACGAAACAACCTGGTAAAAGATTGCCAACACGGTTTTATGCCGGGGCCCTCCTGCTTAACACAATTGCTCAGGGTATTGGATATTTGGACCCATATTCTGGAACGGGGTGGTAATATCAACAATATTTACCTAGATTTTGCCAAGGCTTTCGACAGTGTACCCCACGAAAGGCTGAAAATCAAACTGGAAGGATACGGAATTCGGGGAAATGTCCTAGCGTGGATAGAAGACTTTCTACATGACCGCAAGCAGTGTGTGGTGATTAATGGCACGAAATCGTCATCTGTACCTGTCACAAGTGGGGTACCACAGGGCAGTGTATTGGGCCCGCTGTTGTTTGTTTGTTTCATAAATGACATGCCTGACGTTGTACACTCCTCCATACAAATGTTTGCCGATGACGCCAAATATTTCGGGAAATTAAGAACCAAGCGGACTGTGAAGAGCTGCAGGAGGACCTCTGTGGGCTCCAGGAATGGTCGAAGAAATGGCTGCTGAGATTCAATGTCACGAAGTGTAAGAGGATGCACCTGGGGCGCACCATCGGTAAGGAGGCGTACCATATGTCCCAACGGGATGATAAAACTGCACTAGTTGAGGCTGTATGCGAGAAGGACCTAGGTGTGTATGTTGACAATGAGCTGAAGTTCTCGGGCCATTGTGAGAAGAAGGTAAATCAGGCAAATAAATTATTGGGTCTTATAAGAAGGTCGTTCAGATATCTAGACGGTCCGTCCCTCGTGACGATCTTCAGGAGTGAAGTGCTTCCCCATCTGGAGTACTGTCACCCCATCTGGTCCCCGAGATATGCTAGGGACTGTCAGTTGGTTGAAAATGTTCAAAGGAGGGCCACCAGACTGGTGCCTGCACTTCGGCACCTCAGCTACCCTGAGAGATTGGAGCGCCTGAACTTGCCTAGCTTATACTACAGACGGGCAAGGGGGGACCTAGTTGAGGTTTATAAGCATCTCAGGGGGCACTACTCAGTTGAGTGTCCTTACTTGGAGCTGGCGGACGCTCGCCCCACAAGGGGCCACAGCTCAAGATTGAAGAAGCCGCAAGTCCAGAAAACCGTGAGGGCAAACTTTTTCGGAGTGAGAGTTGTAAACTCTTGGAACAATCTACCAGAGAGTGTTGTGACGGCACCGAGTGTGAGCTCTTTCAAGAGAAGACTTGACCAACACTGGAGCGGGTTCAGGTACATTCGGAAGCCGGTGCATGCCCAGTATTTGCCAACAGTGCGTGACAGACGTGACCGATCGCCCGGGCGGCTAGCGAGCCGATCAGTGGCGAAGAGGATAAAAGTAAAAGTAAATGTCAACATCAATTGCATTAAATACATATAAAGGCCTACAGGAAGCGGCGGTCCCTGAATTTAGAGATACTTGCGTTTTTTAAAGTTACAACAGTGTGTATTCTTAAGGGCAGGCAAATTCTAATTCATTGGTCATGTACACCATGATTGCAGTTCCTTGTCACTATAGCTACTGGGGTTGTTACTTTTGTTGAATTTACAATATCGATTAATTAAGAAAAAATATCTCAAGAAGTACAGAACAACACATAATAAGTTAAACAACGTACTGTGAATGAAGATTCCATATAAAATAACACAGTACTATACGCTATAATTCGAACTCGTTCAGTTTACATAGAAAGAGTGTGAATGTGCTCACTCACTGCTGCCACATATACCTGAAATGACTAACTAAAATTGGCAATTGTGCATATAATTACAGTTACTTGGTCATTATATATATATATTTTTCTATAAATTAAGTTTAGTATTTACCTAATTTTGATTGGGGGACATTTATGAAGTTAGAGTATATGTTATGAATGTAAATGATAACCATGGCACATGTGTCAAACCACCAAGTTCTCTGGTGTAAACGTCAACACTCGTCGACCTCACAGTGAAAGGCGCCGTATAGTTTTCCTTATCATTTTTCTACTAATATTTACAGGTACGTAATGCAATCACACTTTAATATATATAAAGAACTGTAAATTACATTACCTATGTTGAGGCATAGAGATTGTCAAGGAGTTTGCAAGGAACCTTGACCCTAGTTAGAACGTCACTGTTTTGGTGAGTAAATTTGTGATAGTAAATGAGTAAATTACAACAGTAATCTTAATAATATAGGATAATAGTTGTTTTTTTCGTGATCCACCATCACCTTTTTTTCACATGAAAAATATATTTTTCGCTATTTTTCTTGCTGTTTTATATAATTCTGACATTTATCTCTGGGGCAAATCACTTTTTTTATAGATAGGTTAGGTGAGGTTAGTTAGTTCGTATGGTGTGAGAATAGGTTATTTTTAGTGTATTTTACTCAAATCTGACCTCCATTTTTGTGCAAATTAGCGGTTTCAGTATTATTTTACTTTCAGACATAGTGCCCCCGAAAGTTATAAATCCCTGAAACATTTAGATCTCGCTATTCTGAGCATTTTGAACCCCATATATACATGGCGGAAATGGATAATAGCGACACAATTGAATTTAATTGATTTTAAGTAGTTTTCAGTCTTTGTGAGAAGTTATATGCCCATCACGCATACACAATGTTGACTGACGTCATTGAGTCGTGACCAATGAGGAATCGATATCATCACGCTAATTTTTTTCGACCAATCACATTTGATTTTTTTCAAAGGAAGCAGCCTGGGTATGATTTTAATTTCATTGACCAGTTTCACAATGGCCATGGTAGAGGTTGGTTGTCTTTGTGCTCCTACGATTATTAATTTATTGCTGAGTTTTACGAGAAAGACGATTATTCTATCCAATTCCTACGCATCCCTGGTCCTTCCACTTCTAACTAAGGTATTGTACTTTCGGACATGGCGCGCCCCAAAGTTTTTAACTTATGAAACTAGGTTAGTTTAAGCTAGGCCATCCGGGGGTCTGGGAGCGGAGCCCCCAGCTAGGAGTTAAGTTAGGTTTTGTTAGGTCAGATGACTCGTTTTCGTTTTCTCCCCCACCCAAAAACCCCGATTTTGCAGGCTCCCCCATTATTGTTGGGGTGGGGGGCAAAACTAGTAATTTCCACCCAAAATGAAGGTCAGATTCGTTTAAAGTGCCAAAATACACTGGAAAAAACATATTGGTCAACTCCTAGGGACTCCTGTTCGAAAGTAAAAATTTACTGAGGCTTCTGTTAAAATGAAAATGTTAAGTTTTTGTCCCTCAAAATAATTTTCACAAAAAATGAAGGTAAATTTATAGTAGTTCACACAACTCTGTTAGACAGTCAAAACTATGATTTTCTAGGGTATTTTTGTGTGTTTTGATTGGTTCTGACTTTGATTTCCGTCGGAAATTGTCTGTTTTTTAGTCATCGCCCCCTTCTTCCCCCAACAAGATAGGGCATCCTGGGAACCAGGGTTTTGGGTGGGTCATTTTCCGACAAAAATCATGACCAAGTGAATACAAAATTCACCAAAAAACACTAGAAAAACATATGAACCTTACCTTTTTTGGGATGACCTCGCCTGACCTAACCTAGCCTGACCTAACCTAACCTAACCTAACCTATCCTATCCTATCCTATCCTATCCTATCCTATCCTATCCTATCCTGACCTGACCTAACCTATCCAAACCTGACCTAACCTTACCTGACCTAACCTAACTCACTGTGTTTTTACATAACAGACTCTCACCACATGAGGGAATCACTGTTATTTCTTACCTTATTCCATATTAGAATCTTTACTGAGGTTGGGAGAACACCATGAGATCTAATAAATGCTATTTCTTGTTTGTTTTTCCCAAAACGCACAATTAACTCCATATAATTGAAGTGACACTCATCACAGACTTCCATGGTCGGAAAAGAATTTGAATTTCGAAGCATGAGAGACCCAAAATCACAATCGAATCTGATTGGGCAAAAAATACCGCGAATTCTAAAAGCAGAAACCACAATTCATTTTAATTGGTGGCCAAAAAAAAAAAAAAACTTGTTTGGCCGCATGACGTATAAGGGAACGCATGTGCATGATGATTTATGAAGGGAACACGCTGAGTGGTAGGTCGGGTAAGCGATAATGGCTGAAGATTAATGGAATTAAAGAGAGAAAGATTTGGCATGCACTATCTCTGTTATTATACGCTTCCAATGGTAATGTAATAGAAGAAAATTATCTTAAAATTAGAAGTCTTTTTTCGAATATGATATAAGATTACAGGTAGGAATGTTGTGTGAACTAATATAAAAATATCATTTACTCTTCACACTCATGCTTTTAACTTTGGTAATACATAATGAGAATGGTACAACCTAAACTCCTACTTGTTAGTTCCTCGGTAAAAAAGGTTTACTTCTTTGGAGAATTTCCTCAGGTTGGTACTAAGGCGTGATTACTCTTGTCAAGTATCAGCCTTAACTTGTAATGTTACATGACACCCCTACCTACCATGTTACTGTAGTGAAGGTTCACCATAATGTCATGAGTAGTGTCTGATGTTGGAAACACAATTACTGTACAGTACTGGTCTAATAAGTGGAAGGGTCAATATTTAGAAGTTGCTACTACCTAATTAACTTTTTAAAATGGGTTTATATAATGTAAATCATTGTGTTAAATACAAGTATGACCTTCATCGTTGTCGGAAATGAGCAGTAGTTGAGATATTGACAAAAAAAGTGGAAGGTCAAATAATGTAAAAACCTAAAAAAATAAAATCATTAAACCTAACCTAACTTAACCTCACCTACCTAACCTCTCCTAACCTAATCTACCTAACCTAACCCAACCCATAGTGTGTAAGAAACTTGCCTTAAGTAAGAGATAGCATAATGTGTTGTCTGATGGAAGACCTTGCTGCCTTATGGCATCACAAAAATTGTGACAAAGTCCCAGGTTGCTGATCTGACTTTCTGCCCCGATGTGGGTCAGTGACCTGTGCTCGGGTGGGCTATCCCCTTAAAAAAAAGGATAGAGTGATGCGACTTGAATGAGCAAACGGCCGTCAGTTTCTGTCTCATCACAGTACCACGCATGGTGATCTACGCAGTATTGACACTCTGAATTACATCTGTTTTTGGCTGTATCACTGTCAGGATAATTATTAAATAAACCAAAGGTAGAATATTTATAATAATAAACTCTTCATTGCTATTTAAGGTCATGAGATGTTTCCAAATTTTTTATATTTGTTTTAATAATGAAGAAAATTTGATGTGAGAATCTTCTGGCAGCTGTGGTTGTAGTTGAGTTGCCAATTAATTAATATAATTTTCTTCATTATTTAAGCAAATATAAAAAAAATTTGGAAACTTCTTATGACCTTACATAATAATGAATAGTCTATTATTATAAAAATTCTACCTTTGGTTTGTTTAATAATTATCCTGACAGTGATACAGCCAAAAACAGATCCACCAATCACAATCACCTTTACATACAGCCTTCCTTTACCAAGTGTTGCCAGGTAAAATTGCGAGCACAAGACACATCGGCACTCACGCTGATGGGCCAAGTATTATAAAATAAAAGTTAAAATAACTCAAAACTATAAGTTTCCGATAGAAACATAATAGAATAAATTATTTTTATTTATTTTTTTCTCTATCTCCCCATATATGACTTGTACAGTATTCATTTTTTTTTTTACGGGGATTAGCCCACATCAGGGCCTGGGGGGCGAAAATTTAATAATAATGGTAATAAAAATAATAATACAGTAGTGTAATAATAATAATAGTAATAATAATAATTGATATTTTTTTACTTTTATCCTCTTCATTACTGATCGGCTCGTTAGCTGCTTGGGCGATCGGTCACGTCTCTGTTACGCACTGTTGGCAAGTACTGGGCATGCACCGGCTCCTGAATGTACCTGAACCCGCTCCAGTGTTGGTCAAGGTCTTGAAAGAGCTCACACTTGGTGTCATCACAACACTTTCTGGTAGATTGTTCCAAGAGTTCACAACTCTCATTCTGAAAAAGTTTGCCCTCACAGTTTTCTGGACTTGCAGCTTCTTCAATCTTGAGCTTTGACCCCTTGTGAAGCTAGCATCCGCCAGCTCCAAGTAAGGACACTCGACTGAGTAGTGCCCCTTGAGATGCTTATACACCTCAATTAGGTCACCCCTTGCCCGTCTGTACTATAAGCTAGGCAAGTTCAGGTGCTCCAATCTCTCGGGATAGCTGAGGTGTCGAAGGGCAGGCACCAGTCTGGTGGCCCTCCTTTGAACATTTTCAACAAACTGACAGTCCCTAGCATATCTCGGGGACCAGATGGGGTGACAGTACTCCAGATGGGAAGCACTTCACTCTTGAAGATCGTTATGAGGGACGGACCGTCTAGATATCTGAACGATCTTATAAGACCCAAAAATTTATTTGTCTGATTTACCTTCTTCTCGCAATGGCCAGAGAACTTCAGCTCATTGTCAACATACACACCTAGGTCCTTCTCACATTCAGTCTCAAAAAGTGCAGTTTCTTCATCCTGTTGGGACATATGATACGCCTCCTTACCTTTTGTACGCTCCAGGTGCATCCTCTTACACTTGGTGACATTGAATCTCAGCAGCCATTTCTTCGACCATTCTTGGAGCCCACAGAGGTCCTTCTGCAGCTCTTCACAGTCCGCTTGGTTCTTGATTTCCCGAAATAACTTGGCGTCATCGGCAAACATTTGTATGGAGGAGTGTACAACGTCAGGCATGTCATTTATGAAACAAACAAACAACAGCGGGCCCAATACACTGCCCTGTGGTACCCCGTTTGTGACAGGTACGGATGACGATTTCGTGTCATTAATCACCACACACCCGAATTCCGTATCCTTCCAGTTTGATTTTCAGCCTTTCGTGGGGTACACTGTTGAAAGCCTTGGTAAAATATAGGTAAATATTGTCGATATTACCACCCCGTTCCAGAATATGGGTCCAAATATCCAATACCTTGAGCAATTGTGTTAAGCAGGAGCCCTCGGCATAAAACCGTGTTGGTAATCCTTTACAAGGTTGTTTCGTAGTAGATATTCCATCGCTGCATCTCTGATAATACTCTCAAGTACTTTGCATATTATGCTGGTCAGGCTCACCGGTCTATAGTTGTTCGTGGAGTGACGATCGCCCTTCTTGAAGATAGGACTCGCATGATAATAAAGAACCATAAAGAAATAAAAAAATGAAAAAAGATCAAAAGTGAGAAACAATATATGTATGTTGTGTTGTCAATAGTAAGTGAAACAATTGAGACCCTGCAATTGTGTGTAAATGAAGCAGAAAGTCAGATCAGCAACCTGAGACTTGTTCACAATTTTTGTGATGCCATGTGGCAGCAGGGTCTACCAGACAACACAGTTCGGTGGTGGTAACTTCTAAATATTGACCAGTGTAGGTTGTTGAGTGCAGAAAAGGTAATCTCATGGAATACATATGTTTGATAACGAGAATTTTTTTCCCTGTGACTTACTGTAAGGTGAAAATTTGTAGCAGTTTATTAAGTTCTGTTCTGACTGAAGTTTAATATGATGTGACATATTAGTGTTAATTATCTGGAGATACAGAAACCAGGGTCTTATACTGTATCAATATAAGTTAATTGACCATAAACTCAAGTGTACAGTACAATATAGCTTTAATATTTTGATAATACTGTACTGTAATTGAAATACAGTATTTGATGTCAAGTATAATAGAGACATAGTTAGTGACTCATGGTTTTATGAAATGGTAAATTCTGGATAAACTAGCTATCAGTTTTGTGCACCACCACCACCACCACCCATACACACACACCGCACTTGAGGTAAGTGCCCTCCTCAGCTAATATCGACGAGTAACCCACCGATGCATTACAGTATTTGTTTTGATGTTTATATTTTGCTAATAGTCGCCAGTGTATGTTTATGAGCCACATTGTCCCGGCAGCTGCTTTCATGTCCACAAAAATATAAAATTACACCATATCATAGTAAGTTCTTTCTGTTTAATATACCGTGGGGTCCAGAGGGTGGAGCTCACGGCTAGGAAGTTAGGTAAAGTTTCTTTGGTAGGTAAGGTTAGGTATTTTTCTTTGGTTAGGTTGGAGAGGTCTTCTAACAGTGCTTCTGCTGCTTGTTTTTCTTATCAACTAAGATTAGGTTTAATTTAGAAATAACCATTTTTAACACATGTCCCATAACTACAACAGTGTTCACTATAAAACACAGTGAAATTGCAGCATTTTTAAATGGCAGTGGATATTTTGCTGTGACCGGCTATGTTCCTACTAATGCTATTTTACCGTGATTGCACTCTGATTGGCTAATCGTCCAATTCCAGCAAACAATGCGAGAACTATATTTGACTGTGACGCTGGCAATTAGTTTAATAATTATGGTAATAAACACTACAATGAATGGTAAGTTATCTGAAGATCAAAGTGAATTTAGAAGAGGAATTAGGAAGGTAGTACCTTTGGTTTGAGAATTTTAAATGAAAGGGATACTGGTACTGTAAAAGGAATTTTTGATAATGATGGGGTTAAAACACAAACCTTTTTTTTATTATCATTTCCACCACTTGTCAGATTATTAACCATTTGGGCAAATGGTCTGTTCTTTGTTATGCCTTTATTGTCTAGTTTTAATACAAGAGGAAACTGGAGTACCCAGATAAAACCTGCAAAATTTAGTAGTGTCACACTTGATAAAACTCTTCTCACATTTGACCTGGGAATTGTACCGGTGATGCAGTGGTGAGAGGCAATTGTACTACCACTACCTCTGTACAGTACAGGTATCAACTACACCCCAATCACGTTTTTTTTTTTTTTAAGTCAATCATTTTCATTACTTATAGTTTGGTAAATACCTCCAGTTTATTTTTGTTAGATACCACATTTATTAGATGAACTTATATTTGTTCTCCATTCTCTATGATACTTTGTGTGAATCAAGGAAGGTGCGTTAAAATTTTTATACAAGTTGAGAAACTTTAATTATTTATTTATTTTTTTTTTTTTTTGAAGGAAGTTGTCAAGATTTGTGAATCATAGATAAGAAATGTTAGCTATTTATTAATTTACCTCTTGCCATTTTCAGATGGCACCCAGTTTGATGCTACCCAAATTATTTTCAGATGGCACCCAGTTTGATGCTACCCAAATTAACAATGACGCCATTTCGTGTAATGGCATTGGTAGCAGGTGTGGCTGCAGTTTGTCTTGTCTTCTCTGCTCTGACAACCACTGGGCGACAGGCAAAATTAGGAAAAGCCTTTGAACAAGTTTCAACACTAGATAAGGTTAGATTTTTATCAGTGATAGACAAACTTACTGTAGAATTTTCAGAATTTTTTCTGTATACAGTAACTAATTAAAATCTTGGTAAAACCACCTTCCACCAGGTGGTTTGAGTACAGTATAACACAAGCACACCATGCCATTGGTGTAGATTCAGGACACTCCATAAGTGCAGTATCTGGCACTAATCTTCTTGAGTAGTACTGCACGTCAGTCCTGTAGAGTCTGAGTTGAGCCAAGAATTTTTTTTTTTATGTGTTATGCTTGTTTTTATGTTTTCCTAATTGATGGGATTATCTGATACATTACAGTATAGTGCATGGATTTTCCATTCAGAAAGAGGATGGTGGTTGCTACCAATTGACCTCTTGATAAGCACTATTTCATAGGCAAAGTGTATTGTGAGTCTTATAGGACTATGGGTCCCAGGTTAAGTTGTTAAATATACAAGAAATCTACAGGTGGTGATGGGAATTAATTGTGTAAGTAGTTACTAATAAAGGTGTTACTTGATATACAGTAGCTGATTTGCATATTCGTGAATTCCAGTATGTTATTATAAACCCCAAGAGCATTAAAAAATTCAGAAAATTTTTGAATGAAATACAAGACTGCACAATATTACCTGTATGTTGTTGTCCTGTTTGTAAAGATGCTTTCCCCTTAATTTTTTATTTGTATGGGTACTTTATTTTATCTAATATACTGTACAGTATAATGTTTATACCTATACTGTACTGTATTTAATTTTTCTTAACTTTGAGTGTCCTAACTTAAAATTTATTCTAAGAATCTCCAGGGTAGTGACATTACGGTCATGTTGAATGGTTGTAACTAAACCTACAAGTCATGGTGATTCATAATGATAGTTGAAGTCAGCCATTGTTGTCAGTAAGCCTTGCAACCATATCTGTGGTAGCCAAAAGTAAGCTCAGTGTTTCCCATTTTATCTTCACTTTATGTTGTTGAATTTTGATAATCCTCTAAAAATTAAATTATGTACAGTACAGTACTTGGTTATTAGTCAGAATCATTCAGCAACAGCTTGAAATATGACTAATTACAGTAGTTTGTTCAGTTATAGAATACAGTATGTGAGCTTTGGAAGCTGTAGTTGCAGTGCTTTGAAGTCGGCACTGAAGTCTCTTACCTTATTATATAAAATTCAACTACAGTACCTTTAGTAAAAAAAAAAGATTGTCAACAAATAAGAAAGCATGCTTTAAGTAAGAAATTTTTTGAACAGACAGTGTATGTTATCAGGAAGACTTGGCCTTGATTGTGATAAGATAGTTAGATGCCGATAGATAGATTTTCACTAAATCGTATGGTGTGTGTGTGTGTGTGTGTGTGTGTGTGTGTGTGTGTGTGTGTGTGTGTGTGTATATATATATATATATATATATATATATATATATATATATATATATATATATATATATATATATATATATATATATATATATATATATATATATATATATATATATACACACACACACAATGCAGGTACTGTATACATTCCAGCATGTACCCATATATGGCAAACAGTTTTAATTATTGTTGCATTACTTTTTATTTCACTACCCATATTAGTTTTATATTTACTAATTACAACTAATAGAGTGCAAAACAGTACAGAGAATAGATTTTTAGATAATGTCCACAGCTCAGTTTGACTTTAGGCAGCTCAGTCTGACCCTGTATATTAGTCTCCCTTCAGTATTAGAATAGTTTTTCTCTTAATTTACTTGGTCCTTTTCTTATATATGCAATACAGTCTCTCCTCGACTTACGACGGGGTTCTGGACCGAAGACCAGGTCAGAAGTCGAATTGGTCGTAAGTCGAAAAGGCGAAAATTATACATGGAAAATCTAAAATGGGTGTCTCTTTTTCTTCTCGGCACCACGAGAACTTTCAATTTTACGCTTGCCAGCCATTTTAAAGGGAATTACAAAAAAAAAATTGCCAGTACAGTACACAGCGCGATCACTAACGTCGGGACTCAAAAATACGTAATTTGAAAAATATTTTATACGACTGCGGCGGTCGTATGTCCAGGTGGTCATAAGTCGAGTAGGTCGTAAGTCGAGGAGTGCCTACTGTATACTGTACTTTGTTAAACATAATTTAAAATTCTTATTTTAATTTGATTTCTTGTAATTTCACAAGTATTTTTAGTAGTCCAGGCTTTGGATATGTTTATATTGTCTTCTTAACTGATTTAAGAAAACACGTCTCGCTAAGGTATCCATTATTCTCAAGTGTACCGGTAATTCTAAGGTCATACAAGTATCTGATGTTGTGTATGTATTTTATTCTGTCAGAAAATAAGGTATACAGTATTCTTATATGTCCAGATACAAGAACAAAGAAAGGTGCAAAGCTTTGAGAATCTGAACCTAGAAACATAACCTTATTTTTTCCATTAGTACTTCAAGTTGTTTGATGTGGTGTTCAGTTGAAAACCACACCATGGTTTATCAAGAGTTTATTGTCCTTTATTAGTATGTTACGGCCTTTTTGCAAAAGGGCCAATTTTGCAAATAGGTCAGGCCCCTAACTTAACCATAGTTTGGCATTTAATGCCATCAAACAAAAAGGCCAACTGGTTGACTTTTTGCAATAAGGCCAAAATAAAAAAAATAGCCATAATATAAGTGTAAAAAATTCACACCATAGAACAAATATCATATTATTATTTTTATAAGCAGCCTAATTTCATTGTCATAAATTTTTGATATGTACTCTGATATATCTCCTCTAGCGTGATCTCAGTGGGAGAACAATGGCTGAGCCCAACTTCTGGCGTAACTTTGACTTCAGGTCTGAGCAGATTCCCTCCCAAGTTAATGAGGCTGCTCAAAAGGTTCACGTCACCAACCACACCATCAACATTATGGTAAGTACTTATGGTACCTGAATAACACCGGATCCTTTTGGCTAGAGAGTTTGAAAGTTGCCCAAATCCATCTTTATGATGACTGTTTTAACTCTCAAGTGTGGGCACGTGTGTCCAGTCCTGGAATTTTGTTTCACCACCACTTCCCTCATGCGAGCCAACTGGCAATGGGGTGGCAGAAACCATAACCAGGCAGCTTAGAAACCTTCTTTCCTCACTAGTGTCGGTGATTAGTCAGCTAGAACTGAGTAGAATATAGTGGATTAACTTAAATCAAAGATGACAGACAATATACTTTGGCATGTTGTGTGCTGATTCGACAGACTCATCTGTTATGAGACTTCAGGACAAATACTCCAAACCTTGTAAGTTACAATATTGGTGATATTGTAACTGACTTACAATATTTCAACCTTACAAACTGCTCAGAACATTGTAGATCTCCCATGCTCAAAACTTTTTGCGATGGTGTAAGTGTATTGTAACTCGAATATAAACATTGTAGAGAAAGTCTTCGTGCAGGCCAGTCAATCACAGTTCCACTTTCAAAACATACCAACCAATCACAAGCTAAAGATATCAGATGGCTTGGGGCATGAGGTTTATAAACAAAAGAAGTTTAAGAAGCTGAAGATGGAAGGCCCAGCTCTCAAAAAGATGCCCAAATTTTTCAGATGCAGAGGTTTTAGCTAGAAGAGGTGAAAAGGTGGAAGAATGTTTTCTGGGGAAAATTTGACAACAAAGTACATGTCAGAGTGAACAGTAATAATTAGGACTCGGTTTTAAGTGCAGTGAATTTTATGGCTTGAGTACCAAGAGATATTGGTGAATTTCAAAATAGGTTCACCAATAATAAGGACACCTTGGGATTTTATTTACATTTCTTACTTATTTTCCACAAACTAAACAAAACCATAACTATATTTCACACCAAGATTACAATTAATATTAAAATAGAAAAAAAAGTAAAATTTACAATAAAAAAAATGCATATAGCTACACTATTTAACGATTCAAGAAACTAGTACAGGTTGTACCTTTCTAGTCCGGCAACCTCGGGACCTGACCGGTGCCGGACCATGGAAATTCACCATTTTCCTGGATAGATAGTGACTCGTGCTTACGCTTGGAAGCACTAACACCACTTTCACTGCTTCGTGGTCTCTTTGAAGACATATTGAAGGGTTAAATGTTGTACAGTAGGTTCTCAAATTTCGCGAGTTTTTAATTCGACGCTTTTTATTTGGACACAAAAAAAAATACACAATTTAAAATTTCGACGGTGGAAACTCGAATTTCAACGGGTTTGAGGGGCCTGCCAATGTTCAGACGTGCACAAATCGTGTAAACAGCGTCATTTCTCTTATGTACAAAAGATTCATTATTGTTTATTACTGAATGTCTTTTTGATTGACTTAAAGTTTGTGTGCAAAATGAACAATACAATTCATTAATAATACGTAGAATATTAAAACACGAGGAAACGAGACGGCAATGTTTTCGTTGATTATAAAACCAGTGACTGATTGGTTCTACATATAAAACTAAAGAAAATAAGACCCTGGTTGTAGCTGTAGTAAAATTAATGTAAAAAATTAATATGGTTGTTTTAAGTAATGGTATTTAATGTTAATAAATGGAACAATATAAGTAGCTAACCAATAATGGTAAAGAAAAAAAGTGAGATCACCTATGTAAGTGCGCACACGTGAAAACATATCGTCATCATTCTGCATAAGAATATGAAAGCATCACTTATACTGTTCATACATATTTTAATTAATGTTTCTGAATTTAAAAAAAAAATTCTACCCACCAGTGGTAGTAAAGTTGAAAACATAAAGACAGCCAATGTTGTTGTGTGTGTTTTTACCCAGATGACGAAGTTGCCAAGTCATCAGGTTCAACTCTAGCTGAAGCTGTAGAACATAAGAACTTTTCCTGTGTTGTTTTTTGTTTTTATTTAACTTTATCTGTGTTATTTTCGTTGGTTTATTAGGATGTTGCTTTATTACAGGTAGTAATTCGCCAAAAAAGTTGGGTAAATAAGGCAAAATTTAGCCAAACATTGAAAGTACCAGACTCAAATTAATTTTCTTCATGGGCAAACTAAAATCGTTCCGGACCACAGGAGTTTCTGGACCACAGATTGCCGGACTAGAGAGGTACAACCTGTAGCATAGATTAAAATAAAGTATCATGAAAAGTGCAAATAAAAATCACCAAAAAATGGGTGCATACCGGAACAGCATATGCCCTCTTCGTTCTCTACTGTAAAAAGGTGTCTAATTCCTCATATAGCATAAAAATTTCACAATTGTTCATCACTCATGTTAAGGGGGTCCAAGGGGGTCTCGTTACCTTCTTTCGCGTTGCAAAGCTCGATCATTTAAATGTACTGTACATTGATCAACTCTCTCTTGCCTGCTAAAATATAAACAGCCACAGCTGTTTATAGGATAATTTTTAACTGATTAGATTCTATCCTTTAATATCATATTCTATTGAAATAATATATGAAACCTATTTTCTGCAGTATTCTCTGACAACTTTAATGAGGTTTATCATAGCTTATAAGGCATAGACTGTTTATGCAATCTGGAAATACCTGTATACAGCACAGTGTACTATACTGTACTATGTCTGGGGTTGATTCCATTACAAGAGTTCCAGGGGTCTTGGAAGTTACACCCTCCAAGTACAGTACATAATGTCACAAGATGGTGGATATTTTGTTTGGAGTATCACTAGAGATTGGACTTACAACTTCGAGAATTGATTTGCAATGGCAGGTGGCAGATACAACATTGTAAATTCTTTTGAATATCTGGCCCCTAGCTTCTAGAAGGCAGCTGTTAATTTATCATTTTTACTACTTGCCAGATTATTAGCTCTTGCACAGTTACTCTATTTTCTGTTGTGAACTTCATTGTCCAGTGTTAGTAGAGGATGTACTGGAATACTTGGAGAAATCCTGCCATGTTTGGTAGGATCACACTGGATAACACCCTTTACACATCTGACCCAGGGATGGAACACCTGACCACTGTTAGAGAGGCAGGCACTATATTCCTGTTCAGTACCACGAAGTCTTCCTCTTTTAAGGTAATCATGTGATGGAGAGGATAGAATGATTGGAATATCTAGAGGGATTAACAGAACAATCTTGGCTGATGCTTTCGGGGTTGTCAGTAAGCTCGCTACAGGCTCTGCCAGAGAATGGATTTTAGGTTGAGTCTTCTATGTAATACTGTACTGTAGATATTAACACGAAAGAAAATATAGTATCATATACCTCAAATGTATTAAAGGAATACATATAAACTGTGTATTTGTTGTTATTTCTCATACTAAAGTGAGATGTCTTCTGTTTAAGATGAAATTTTTTAACTTTGATCTCTAAATATCTCATCCTCAGGGGTCAAATACTTTCTATCGTGAGGCTCAACCTCCAGAGGGTGTTGCTAGTAGTGGTGAAGTTGTTGTGCTACTTCATGGTGCTGCATTTAATTCTAAAACATGGTTAGACCTGCACACCATCGACCTTTTAGCAGGAATGGGACATCGAGTTATTGCTATTGACTTGCCAGGTGAGTTTGTTTCTGGATTCTCATAGATTGAATGTTTATATATTAAGCTTGATTTTCTTGTCTGCCATATTCTATAGAGAGGGACAGAAATGGTAGGTACCTGTGAGTGTGTGTCCCTCTCTCTGTCTGTCTGTGTGTGCATTCAACTTTATGAAGAATAACTTGAATGGATAGTTGTGGATTGTAACCAAACATGCTAAAAAAGATATATATTGCTGTCAGATCTTAGATGACTTTCATAATCACTATTCCCCATCATTATCAGCCTGAGGAATGTTTATTGTACCTGTAATACATGTGTAGGTGTAAGATGAAAGGAAGAGAGGAGAGGAAAGGATGTACGAATGAAAGATTGTGTTTGTGTAGGTGAGTGAATGAGAGTGAGTGAGTGAAAGAGAAGAGAAAGATAAATGGTGGGAGGATAAAAAGGATTAATGTGAGTATGAGGGTGTATGAAAATAGCTGTCTGGGTTAAGATGTAATTTTCCTATTTATGTCGCAAATACTGTCAGCTTCATGATTTACACCTGTTTAAAATATTAAAAATAGACAAAATGTGAAAAAAGAGGTTATGTCAAATGCTAACTCAAAACCAATGTACAGTCCCTAGTTAGGCACTCAGGAAGATAGATTATTTATTGACTGCACCAATAAGAGAAATAATAAAAAAAATTCTTTATATAGTATTTTGCCCTTCTGTAAGTCAGCCATGGAAAGTACTGTAGGTCACAAAAATCGCCAAAACTGATATTTAAATGGGCATCACTACAGTATTACCCCACCTAACGCGGTTTCACTTAACGCGTTTTATCATATACGCGGTGCCTCGCCAGAGCTGAACTTTCACTTACGCGGAATTTTTCATCATATACGCGGGAAGCGGCGCGGGCACGATGCGCACAAGGTCGCCCAGTCATCAAAACATTACCGAGTTCTTCACCCGCCACCCACCACAGCCGGCCCAAGTCAGTGATAGTGATAATTATAGTGAGGATATGGACTTAAATGGCCTTTGAGGGGTTTGACAAAGAGGCCCTGCAAGCCTCTGTGGTGGATAGTGATACAATTGATACAAGGGATACAGGTGAGGGCCAATAATTTGCCCTCTGCCTCGGAACCAACCCCCCATCCCCGTGTGCCCAGCCATTTTTTCTACTAATGCAAGTGTTAAAAAACCTAATATTATTGATATTTCTCTTAATTATTAATTGTGTGTGCATACCATCATAAAGTTAAGATAAAATTTTTACTACAACATAGTTGTGTGTCGTCAAAAAGTGGAGTTTGGGGGTCGGGCCAGTCTCTATTGGAATTAATCCCATATGTTCTGTTGTTCACTTAACGCGGTTTTCACTTAACGCGGTACCCTGTGGGTTCAATTGACCGCGTTAAGCGGGGTACTACTGTATAACATTAGTAGAATTTAAAGTGAATGCTTTGTGTGATACTGTATTGTCTTAGTTGCAGTATTAATGTTTCATTCTCAATCATTCCTTCTTTTATTGTTTAATTTACTTTTGTAGTATTTTGTCACAACTTGACATGTGTTTTTTAAAGACTTTCTATGTGCAAATCATTAACATATGATAACGTGTGCTGAAGCCAGTCACAAACGTTCATACTGTACTCACATGCTTATTTTTCCTTGCATCAACAATATTCTGTTTTATCACCTAATATAGACCCAGCATATATATATATATATATATATATATATACATACATACATACATACATACATACATACATACATACATACATACATACATACATACATACATACATACATATATATATATATATATATATATATATATAATGATTTTATATTATATTTTCTTATTGCATGTACTGTATTTTTTGTGTGATTTATTTATTTACCACATTTTTTTTTTTTCATTATAAAAAATACTTGCCTGCTCTTTAGTAGTGAATGTAGATGTGTATAGTGGTGAAATTATTTACTGTAGTGGAAGTTGCAGATGAGCCACCTGATACTAATTAGGGGGAAGAGAAAGGGATTTTAGGATGCAATTAAAGTCCAATATTTTGTAGATTGAAAAGCATGAAGGGTTTATCTCATAAACTCATCAGTCAGAGAAAATTTGAATACGTATTTAATCAAAATTGGGTTTACATTTTATTGATATGGAGTAAGCATTCTCCTGATTTTAATGCAGTACAAGCTCTGATGATTTTCTTAAGAGTTTTCCAATGAGATTTCTCTTACACCTGTACCTGAACTCTTCGCCTGAATCTACACTTGTACCCAAATGCTTCACCTTACTACACTTATATCCAAACTCTTCACCTGCATCTACAGTACACAAACTTGTACTTGAACTCTTCTCCTGAATCCTGCTGGCCTGCCTGTGTCTTTCTTCCTCTTTGTACACTCTCACATTCTTGATAGATTTATTTTTTCAACATGACCATATAGCCTCACTACTTAACCTTGTACAGGACTTATTACAGTATCACACTTAACTCCACCTCATCCATTCCTTCAACAGTCTATCCTGTCTGCTGTGCTCTTACTGATTATATTTATGCTTTACATGCATATTTATAATGTCAAAAGGTTCAGTTAAACTAGCCTGACAAATTGAAGATCATAATGTAAAATAAACATTATACAATACAGTACAGTACATGAGTTTAGGAAGATCACAATAACTTGGTCTCTGAGTCAGATTAATTTTATGAATTAGATAGATATGATTTGTGATTATTTCTCTAAAGCCATTGTTAGTAACTACTGCAGAAATTACAATGTATAGTATATCTGTTAAAATTCATATCCTTGATTGAAAATTAGGCCCAATATCATTTTATTTATTTTTTTCATCTTACAGCCTTTTGGAATGGAATGATTTTCTTTGAATGTTGAAATACAGTACTGTAGTTTAATTTTATTTGTTTTTGCTTACACAAATTTTATGTTTGATACACAAGGCTTTGGAAAGACCCCAGGTCCACTGACAGGTGACAGAGCTGATTATCTGCACTCCTTACTGAGTAACTTAAAGGTCACCCATCCTATACTGGTCTCACCCTCTATGAGTGGTCAGTTCTCCATCTTATTCATCAACAAGTATCCTCAAGACCTTGCTGGCTTTGTGCCAGTTGCTCCTGTCTCTACACAGCTGATCAAAGAGAAGGCCCCAGAGCTGAGGGTAAGTAAGAAATTTAATTAGGGAAATAGTAAGGGTATACAGTAGAGTTTTTCATAATAACAACCATAGAACTAGATTTATTTGCAAGTTTTATAGTTATTAGTTTGCATCTCACACCATAATGACTGAAATATTAGTATGCATTGCCATATTACAGAAATTTGTGAATGTTAAAAAGAAAAATTATGTAAATTCTTGTAATATTGACTGATCTTGAATAAGGAGGTATTCTTTGAAAAGGAATTTAAAAATAAAAAATTCTATAAGGAAATACAGGTCATCATAATGATAGAGAATGGAATGAAAATTTTTGAAGAATATGAAAAAGAAGATTGATCATCAAATTTGCCCTTGTCTACATAAAACTATTGTAGGCTGGGAGAACCTGGAACATTAGGTGATGGAGCATGGAAGGCCAGCAGTGCCATATAAGGGCAAGGAAAAATATCCCAAGCAAATGGAGACCACTGCTTCTTGGAAAATCTGTCAGGGCAGGAAAAAGAACATTCTATGCATGTAGGGAAAAGCATTTTTCTGTGAAGTCGTATCGAAAAAGCAAGGGTGGATCCAGGGGGGTCCTTGAGTCTGGACCCCCCACCAGAAAATTTCAATACTTTTTCTTTAATGCAGTATTGTTACTCAGGCATTTTTGTATAGTAAACAGTATTTACTATTGACTTCAGAATATCCCCTAATATCAAGTGCGCATAGCTGGGCTAGCTATGCTCGCCTTGTTCTTCCCCAGCAAAAATTTCTTGGACCCCCCCGATATTCCTGGATCCGCCCCTGGAAAGGGTGGCATCAGATTGACCTCAGTCCCCAAAATTTACTAATTCAGTATATAGTACAGTACTCCCTTGTATCTATTTTTTTATACAAATTGTTTACAGTTTTAGATGGTCTTTGTTCCTGAATGATGCTGAGGTCAACTCAGCAGATTTCCTGCAATATTTGTGATATGAGGTTACTTTGAACTTTAGATGCTTCATATGCCATTTTATGACGAATGTTGCATATCTGGACGGATATTAATTAGGGATTGGATGTTGCCATAATTGCTGATGTAGTATGGATATATATAACTATTGCCAATGACATACTGAAAATATGGAACCTTTGTTAAAATTATAGGAAGCTTCTCAGGTTTTTTGGTACAAATTAGGCACATGGTACATATTTGCAATAGGTCTAACATAATTGCTTTTTATAATACTGAATTGTATCTATTCATATACCTTTATATGTGACAGTTCATGCTCCTAAATTTTGAGATCACAACTCTTTCATTGGTTTTTGCACCAGTGGGGGAATATTTATCGCAGACAGCTCTAGCATATCTTTTTAGGTGAAACTGTAAAGGATGGTGATATGTATGTTTCCAATCTGCTTGTATCCAGGTGAGCAACTGATATGTAAAACTGATTAAAGTGTGGCATTGAGTCTAAGATCACTGACCATGAAGTCTTCAGGGTAAAGGTACGTGTGACCATGATTGGTGACCATAGAGGGACTAATAAGCATGATTTTTTTTTGTCTTCTTATTGTTTAGTTTATCTTTTACATTAATATGAGCTTTGTGATGCATGGATGACCTTACCTTTGGTAGTGTGTTGTTTTTCTTCTGTTGTTTTTCTATTTTCATTTGATATACCTTTATTTATTTTTTCCACCGGCAGATGACCTCCTTTGTTATCATTGGTTAGAAAGGGAATGATACCCTTGTTTGTAATTTAATAATCAAAAGAAATAATTGGGTATGCATTATTGTACAGTACTGCAGTCAAACTGAATCCAAACATATTGGTTATGTCGCATTGTCGCGCAGTTAGAATGGATATAAGATTTTGCTTAGATTTTTGTTTTGTATATTGATAAGAGTTGATAATCCATAATTGTATGTGGTAGGGAGGTTTATTTTTCATATACCCTGTACTGTATATAAAACATGGGTGCTTGTTAAAAATTTGATAGCCACTTATAAATGGAGTTAACACACAAAACTGGGTAATTTTATCATAATATTATACAGGAGGTCCAAGACTTACAAACACCCACATATATGAAAGGGGTTAAATTTGAAATTTAGTCTTTTATTTACCTGGTGACTTATTTTTTACTTTCATTTACTGTATTTTGTCATTCTATTTCTTCTTTTCTCATAAATTAAGTGATTTTAGATGTATATAATGACTTAGACTACGGTATGATATAATGGGATTTTCAGCATTGTTCTGTAACTACGGTACAGTAGAACGTCGATTTAAAGCGATTCAATTTAAGAATATTGATTTAAAGTGATACCCACAATTAAGGACAATGTTTTAATTTAAAGCAAATCTTTCCCATTTTGCGCGAGTCAATCTGGCGCATCATATTTTAAAATTCGCACCTAATGTTTCTCTGGGCACGCTACACTGTCCTTAGGGCAAAGCTGTACTGTACATGTACTCAAAATAATGTACTTAATGATTACTAAAATTTTTGTCTAGTGCAAACTATAGCATGATTACCGGGTATATTAAAATTAATCACTATCTTATAAGAATTCCAGTAATGTAAATTATATTCTCCCCGGTCACTTCTGTGAAAAACAAAAACTCATTCTAAAGGATATAAATAAACAAATAAATACTTCACTAGACCTTCGGTGCCAACTGTCAAACATGTCACTGTCAACCCCCCCCCCCCCATCTTCCCAGCCAAGGTTGGGTGGTTATAGGCTTACAGTTTTTATCTTATATAATATCACAGTCTAAAGTTAGGAGAATATAATTTGCATTGCTAGAATCCTTGCAAGACAGAGAATAATTTTAATATAAACGTCATATATTTTGCACAAGAGTTAAAAATTTTAGCCCTCTATAATAAAATTAGTTAGAACTAAAATTTGTATGTCTGATGTGAACTATAGCATGTTTATTTTCAAACTAATCACTAACTTATAAGAATTCCAGCAATGTTAATTATATTCTCCCAGGTCAGTTCAATGACATTTTATAAGAGAAAAACTTAGTCACTCTCAAGGACATAAATAAATAAGCACTAGACCTTGGCATCAACTGTCAAACATATCACCACACCTCTCTCTCCCCCCATCTTCCCATCAGCTGATCAATAGTAAACAGACACCATTTCACTTCCCATATTTTTAGCTGTGTTGATATATGAGTGTTGGTTTTAACATAACACTAAAAAAAAATAATGTTTTGTTTATTCTAGGCGATGGGTTGAGGTTCATCTGGGTAGACTCTCAGTCTTTTTAGTATTTTGTGCTTCTCTCAAGTACCAAACTAAATTATTCCATTGAAACAACACTTTGATTAGTGCAAATTCGGTTTAAAGCGACCTCTCTTGGAACGTATCTCGTGTTATATCGACATTCTACTGTATGCCTATAGCATGTGTTCCGACTTACATACAAATCCGACTTAAGAATGTCCTCAGGAACATAACCCGTTCATAACCCGGGGACCCCTGTACATTGAATTACACAGCAAAATATTGAACAAAGCGAGTTGCTTTGTCATTGTTTTCTGTATTTAGTCTTTGCAGCTGTTAGATTTGAATTTTAAAGATAAAATGCTCACAGTGACAATCAATGAGATATTTAGCTCTATTGTCAGGCAAGTTATTTTAGTGATGTATGTACAGTTGCCCACAGGTGTTCCACCCCTTGGTGGCAACATCGGATTCACTTTATGAATAAATTTGTAATGTGAGGAAAGCAGTTGTTGGCCACTGAGGGGTAGGTGGACCACTATACCTGTAGGTAACTGTACTCAGTGGTGTCATTTCAGATTGTATGGGGTGATTCACTTGCTGGTGGCCCCAGAGTTTTGCTAATGTAACTATTATCTATGAGACAATCAACAATAGATAGAAACATTTGAGAATATAACATTAAAAGCTTTACTGAAAATAAAGTACTATTATTGTATTAACATAGATAATGGATATACAGTACTGTATTAGCAACACTCTGGGGCTACAGTACTGTACAAGCAAATGAATTGCCCTGAACAATCCCAATTCGCCTTGACATGAAAGTAAAGAATCTGATCCTGTAAATGTGTTGAAGGAACTGCCTATGAACCTACACGACTTTGACCATCCTGTTATATTTTATTTTGAAATCTGTAAGAGGATTCCAGATTCAGTGAAACAATCTGTTCACATTTTCAAAATATATCTGTACAGTAGATACTTTCAGAAGAAAGTAGGGAGTGTGAGGGTGTTCCTGATGCTAAATAAGATCTCTGTTGTTATCATCCTCCTCCTTACACAACCAAATGCTTCATATTAATGGAGTTAAATCTTACTCTAACTTCATTAATATGCTTGTACTGATATTGAAGCACTCCAGTATTTACATTTGATAACTGCTTTTTTTTAGAATTATGCTAATGATATTAATGCTTTATTTTAAGGGAAATGCATTTTCTTAGTGGCTTAAATATGCAGGGTTTGGGCATAGTGGTCGACAAGAGTTGGGTCCTGAGCTGAGACGCACTTGGCTTCAATCTTTTCTCATCGCGTTGGACCTCCCTCCCTGTATTGTGGTTTCACCTTCCTTCTCTGGGGTTTACTCACTCCCCTTGTTGGCACTTCAGTCACATGAGTTAGATGGCTTTGTACCTATAGCTGTGGATGCAACAGATGAAATACCTGTGAACTTTCTGCAAACCTTGATGGTAAGTGGAAAATTTTTTTACCAGTGAGTTAGTAGTTGCAGCAAAAGGTACCATGGTTTATAAAAAATTATTCTTATGGAATTTGTAAGTCAGATTAAAGGTAAGAGCTTTTCAGTAGGCAATCTTCTGAAGATAGAAGTGGGTTTGCTTAACCTGGAGTTGTAGTGATGCATAGTAAGGCTTAATTTAACCATTTTAAGAAAGAAAATAGTAAATATGTCTGTATAAGTAACTTTGATTTGGTGAAATCTGCACACAATATTTAAGGGTTGGTGTTGGACAATTTGCCTGGGTTTGCTATTTAGGAAG